CAAGAATGTCTAGCAACAGAGCTGGGATTAGAGCTTGGGCCCCCCAGCTCGTTCGTGCATGCATGCAGCAAATACATATGGAGCACCTGACGTGTGCCAGGTTCGTGCCTTCTCCCTGGCATACTAAGTCTGTAAATTAACCCTCATGCCAATTCCCAAAGCCCTTTCCAGGTCCCATCATGACTGCCTCCCAGCTTCCCAGCAGGCTTATCAATGCTTTACCAGCTGCACCCTTGGCACAGCCCCTGGGCCAACCCCCTCACCCAGCGAGTGAGGACTGGTTCACTGCCAGGCCCCCCAGTTCACACCACTGCGTGAAGCCGTGCACAGAGGCGGTCACATGCGTGGGCTGAGAGCTCCGCATTCCAACCCGCCTCTGGGGGCGGACCTTGTGGGTCCCTGCAAGCAGAGCCTTGCCAGCTCTGACTGAAACCAAGCGTTCAAGTGTGCAAGCCCCACAGCTGTTCTACAGGTGGGAGAAGGAGCTCATCATGGCGCCTGGATCTCAGGCCAGGCACACACCTCCGAACTCCTGCCCAGACCGGGGAGTGTGTAGAAGGAGAGGCTGGGGAGAGGCGCCTGGAGGCTGGGTGTTTGCAGACCGGCTGAGTCGGCAGCAGGCTCCTCCCCACATGGCCATCAGCAAGGGCAGCGTGGAGGAAGCCGGTCCTGGAGAGATGGGGGCTCGCCATGGGGCGCAGGAGCCCAGACCTGGGCAAACCATGGCCATGCACTGGGCCCATTCTGTAGACCTTCCTGGTGGAGGTGACCTCACTGACGACATGGAACTACTCAGTATCTGAGGGCCGAAAGAAGGTTCAGCTGCACATAACAGAAAAACTTCTGGGAACAAGTCAATGAACGGGAGAACGAAAGAACGAGGAAGGACAACAGAACCAGAAGCTTCTAGCATGAAATTAATACGATGCAGACTAGTTCTGGCCAGCGAAGCATGAGCAGTGCTCAGCATCACCTCCTGTCCGGGCAGTGAAGGCCTGGTGTGCCTTCTCCTCCCCTCTTTTCCAGGGTGACCTTGGGTGATTCCCAAACTGTACCTCGCATACACATCACCTGTGGGTCTCATTAAAATGCAGATTGTTCTGGGCGGGGCCTGGGATTCTTCCTTCCAAACAAGCACCTGGGTGGTACGGACATCTGAGCACACATGTGGGGAGGAAAAGGCCTGCCCAGCTCCACTGGACTCTTCGTGAGCAAAGATGAATCTTCGTTGGGTTAAGCCACTGAGATTTGGGGATTTGTGACCTCGGCATAGCCTAATGTCCCTGAGTGACACATTAGGGTAGGGGACTGTCATGCAGACAGGCCACCAGTATTTACGGAGTAGCTGCCATGAACTCATTTTGTGCCCCAGGGGCCTCCCTCTTCAGGAGGCGCTCGCTCTCCCGGGGGTGCAGTGCAAGGTGGGCACCTGAAAGGGGGAGCCCCTTAAATTTGCTCCGTCGGGGCATCTAGGAGCACCCCTGTGCGCCCCCTAATCCCAGCACTGTGAGTCACGGCGGAGCTGGAATTTGAAGCCAGGACCTTTTGACTGACAAGGCTGTGTGTCCTTCCAGTAATGCAAAGGGCAGCCTGGCTCATTCCGGGATCTTATTCTGGGGGGCTAGAGCAGCAGCCAAGAGACTCAGGGGTGCCCTGGACTGTCCCATCCGTCCGGCACCAAACTCGGCAGTTTGGGGGCCCAACCCACTCGTGTCCGGTCAGCAAAGTGGCAGTTCCCGCCATAGGCTTTCAACACTCTGAACTGTGTGCGGAAGGCTCATCTGACACCCCCATCGCCAAATCCCCCGATGCCAGCCTGCGTGCTTCCGGAACTGGCCAGGCCCAGGGCCTCCCTGCCCGGTGCACACGCTGCCACCCGCAGTTATTAGAACAAGTTCCCAGCAAACAGGCACACTCTGACTCACAGCGGCCCGCCAGGGGAGGGCTGGGGTGGCAGGATTTCCACTCATCTCTCGTGGCCTCCCTGGCTGCCACCGGCCCACGCCTTCTTCACTCCCCCGGGACCCCACGGCGGCCTCACCTCCTCACTGTCCGTGGAGCCTCCCCTCCGATGTTGCCATGAGCAGTGCCTCTCGCCAGCTCCTCCTCACACCCAAACCCTCCTGTCTTCTTGCCTCAGAGAGAGAAGTGGTCCCACCTGCTCCTCCCGGAAAAACGAATCAGTAGTGATAGAGGTCAGAAGAGCAAGTATCTAGAAGAGGCATGAGGAAACTTCTGGAAATGTATCCTGCTCTGGGTGGTGGTTACATAGGCATGCACACATGCAAAGAGTTGTTGAGATGTACACTTCACACTAGCACGTTAACCCTCGACCTAAAAGACACATGCCACAGAGAGCTCTAGGAGCAGGAGCCGAAGAAAATAACAGAAACCATAGTGGAAGGTTCTGGAGTCAAATGGACTTGGAACTGAACACCTGGCTCTAGTTTCTAGCTGTGTAACCTTAGACAAGTTACTTAACCTCTCTGAACCTCACTTTCCTATTGAGGCGTAGACTGTGAGGACTAGAAACACTATTTAGCACCGGGCTGGCTTCCTCTGAGGGCCCTTTATATAATCGCTTTCATTGTTGCTGAAACCAGTGGTGTCGGCAAAGACCGGGCATGGGAGGGTCTTCCCCCGGCACGGGCACTAAGAGGGACACGCGGTCTGTAGAGAATTTAAAGATAAAATCGATGAGGGGCACCTGGATGGCTCAGCTGGTTGAGTCCAACTCTTGATTTCGGCTCAGAGTGTCATCTCAGTTTGTGAGATCAAGCCCCTCATCAGACTCTGTGCTGACAGCACAGAGCCTGCTTGGGGTTCTCTCTCTTTTCTCTCTCTCTCAAAATAAATAAAATAAACATTTATAAAAAGGATAAAATTGATGAGAAGTTGGTATATAACTATAAATCATGTCAGTATATAAATCATGTCAATCATGATAAATTCATGACAAAGTACTTTGTCCCAAAAATATCTCTTTTTTGGTCCAAGTTCTGAACAATTGATGAAGCAACTGTTAAATTTTAATAACGTGTGTGTAAGCTTCCAATCAGCACATTTTAATTCTTTATCCTTTAATAAACCTGTCCTTTGTGGAAGTGAACTTGGAGAGCACTAGGAAGACAGCTGCCCACTGCACACGAGCTCATGCCCGCTGCACACGAGCTCAGGAGCACACGTTCACTGAGAGCAGAAGCGCCTGACGGTTTGGAATATTGCACAGCACCCGGCTCTAACCCTGGGGGTGAGAGTTCTGTACCGCAACAGTGGATGAAAAGCAGCAATGGACGCTGAGTGATACTGAACACGGGGATATAGGTCTTTCAATTCCCTCGTTCTATGTGACTCCTGAGAGTTTGGGTTTGTGCTTAAAATTTAAAACAGCGAGGGGCACCTGGGTGTTGGTTAAGCATCTGACTTCAGCTCAGGTCATGATCTCGCAGTCCATGAGTTCGAGCCCTGCGTCGGGCTCTGTGCTGACAGCTCACAGCATAGAGCCTGCCCCTCCCCGCTCCTCCCCCCCACCCCGTGTCTCAAAAATAAACATTAAAACTGTGAAACAGTGTGAACTGTGGAGGGTGGTGATTTTCTTTGGTAAGCGCAAATTTTGGTTCATACATGAGAAGTATTTGTTTCATCTTATGATTATTATGGAAAATGATTCTGTTGTGCGAAGGAGGGGTGCTTGGCGATGACCCACTCCATGCATGGTCCGGCACGCCTCTGACGGAAATACAAGCGTTTATAGACAAACACTGCATGTCCTTCCCTGCAGCCCAAGGGACGCCCTGCCCTCCCCCTCCACCCAGCACCCAGTAATGGAGACCGTACGCTTCCATCTTCACCCGCCTTCCCCATCGCCTCCTTCCCCAGGACTGGGCTGGGAGGGGGTCTCCCCCTAGGAGGCCCCACTCAGTCTGACCCCTGTATCAGGTCCCCCTTCTTCCTCCCCCACCGCCCATTCTGGAACCCAGAGCCTTTGCTTCAAGGTTTGGGTGGCGGTGGAGATTATGGGGGCCAAAGCCCTCCCCAGCCACCCCTCAACACCACCTGTGATCGTCTTCGCCGAATGCCATGATCCCAGCACATGTGCTCACACCTGTCAGGCCTGGTGGCTGGGTCCTCGGAGACGCCCCCAGATACGGCGGAGATGAACTAGGCATCCTGCTCCCCACATAGAACCCCACTTCCCATCTCCATCGGCTCCGGCCACACCTGTGGCTCCCAGGACCGGCACGCTGCCATGCCCGCGCCCACGGTGTTGGCCCTCTGTCTGCAACATTCTCCTTCTCACACCCGCCCTTTCCATGGCTCTCTGTAAAGGCGCCTCCCCCAGAAAGCAGCCCCTCACCTTCGGTCTGAACAAGGACCCCTCCTCAGAATGCCCCGGAATTCCACCTGGTTTCCCTCTGTCTCCACCCCCTCTAGGCTTTGTCCTAAGGTCACTCCTGGGTCTCCAGCCCTGCAGAGGGGGCCTCAGAGATGGCTGAATTAGACGAAGTGGATCGGGTTCTTCTAGATCATTTGGCAGGGGCCCAGCAAGCGCCGGCACACAGTAGGTCCAGCCTGCACGGGCTCACCCACCAGGGGCCACCTTCCAGCCCGGGGAGGCCCCTTGTTGCCAAAAGCAAACAGGCCGCCCAGGGAAGTTTTGCTCTGGGTCACACCCGCCTCTGGGTGGCTGCCAATCTTCTTGCCAGAAACCGCAGGCCCAGCAGAAACTGCCCAGAGTCCCGGCCACGGGGCTTCAGAGGACTTGGGTCCGCGCTGCAAAGGGGGTATCTGCTGAGCTCTTTCTGGATCCATAGCCCCCTGGGGGGGTGCAGGCAGGGGTCGGGCCAGGGCTCAGCAGCAGCAGCAGCAGCTCAGGAAGGCCCTCTTCTTGGGCTGGGAGGAGCCAGACAGGCCCCTGCCAGCCTGTCACAGGCTCCTGGCACGGGCATTGGCTCTGGCTTTCACACACGGGCACGCACACACACACACTCACACTGGCAGACACCCTCTTGGTGGCCTCCACGGTATCATCTTCAGGTAAATGGGCTCATCAGTGGGAGTATGAAGATGGGGAGAGAATCAGGAATGCAGAGTCCAGCACGTGTGTATATTTGTGTGTGCATGTGCATCTGTGTGTGTGTGTGTGTGTGCATGTGTGTGTGCCTGGGAGTGACCTCACAGCTGCCGGAACATGAAGACTTACAGGTCCTGCCTCCCAGGCTCAAAGCCGGCTCCGTGGGGGACACAGTGACATGAGAATCACACCACAGACCCACCTTCTGGCCTTCTCTCTCCTCTGCCTCCTCTCAAAGGTAAGGGGGCCCTGGGCCCCAAAACATCCTGCTGACTTGCTTGGTGTGCTGGGGAGGTATGAAATCACTGCCCAGGATCCCCTTATGTCGGGCACAGCCCAGCTTCCCTCCCGGCACCCAGAGAGTTGTCTCTGGCCAGCTCTGCTGTGTGACCTCGGGAAAGTCCCTTCTCCTCTCTGAGCCTCAGCTCCCTCCTCAGATAAATGATCTGAGCATTTATGATCTGGGCATAATGATCATGAGGCTGTTGTGAAGATCATTTATGGCAATTCATCGAAAGTACTCAGCACAGGACCTGGAACGTGGCAGGTGTTGGAAAGAAGAGGGTTGTGACCAGTAGCAGTCCCCAGGGTCCCACGAAGCTGAGGTGGGGGTGTCCCCATCACTGATAGGGAGACACAACATATAACCTGCTTTCCCTAACTGTGAACCAGGGTTTGAACGGATGTTGGTGTCTAACTGATTGGAAAAGTCCATGCTGCAGGGGCATTAATGGTGTTGGCAGGGAGGGATGGTCTGCAGACCCTGGCTGAAAGGGGACAGGGAGACACCTCGTGGAATAATGATTTTCTCTTAGGGGACGTTTTTCAGAACGTTTATGAAATATCCACCTTACCTAACATATCCAACAACCTCATAAGGAATTATTATCTCCTGATTTCAGTCAAGCAAGGCTCAGAGAGGGCAAGCAACTTGACTAACATCACACAGCAAAGAAGCAGCAGAGTAATGGGGGCAGTGGAGCCCAGGATAGGCTTGAGTGTGTGGAGGGTGGGAAGCGGCACTTCTATTTGTGCCTCTCCTGCCTGTGGCTCTCCCCTACCTGAAACAGGGCCATGGCTGCTGAGCTGTCATTCCCCCAGCAAATGCTGAGTTCCTGACGCCATGGAGGCTGGCGGCGTGACCGCAAGCCATGATCTCAGCGGTGGGCAAGGCTGAGACCCCGCTGACACCCCAATCCCACTGTTTGTTCTCCCGAAGGGGCCCAGCAGAGCATCACGCTTAGGTGGCTGTTAGTTGGGGGCTTGGGGTTCTGGGCCCAGGCTTATATCAAAGAGCAAAATGGAGCCACCCTGGACTCACTGTCCAGTGAGTATCCACTCACCCTCCATTCCCCCTGGTCCCAAGGAGCCAGCAGCGTCCTGGACAGGACCCAGAGACCTGGTCATCACGAACACAGAAAGCCACAACAATCCTCCGACTGAGAATCCTGAAGCTTCTGGCCAGCTGTGGGCTCCTGGGCTCAGGCCTGTGACCAGGGGCAGGTGGCAGAGACCTGGAAACGCACAAAGTCGCGGTGACCAGGAGCTAGCGGTGACCTTTTATCCCTGTCACAATTTCGAGATAGGTGGTCTCCACCCTGTTTTACTGAGGAGGAAACAGCCTCCTCTCCCACGAAGCAGTTCAGTGGCGTGTGGAAGGTCACACAGCCAGTCAGTGGGAGAACCTGGATTTCAGCTCTTCCCTAGAACATTCCGTGTCCAGGGCACTTCCCCTTGGGGACCACCGCAAGGGTCTGGAAAAGCCGTGTGTGCAGGGGGTGGTTAGGAAGGGCATAGGTATAGGGGGAGATCAGAGAGGGCCTATCTCTCCTTGATGTGCTCCCTTGACCTGTCACTGTCTGTCCTGAACAAATGGATAAACTGAGGCAGAGGCTAAGCTGGCAAACAGCCGCCCAGGGACCAGAGGCAGGTGTGGTAATTAAGAGCCTGGGCCTTGGGTTCCCATGAACCTGGCACTACAGTTTTGAGCCTCTATTTCCTTGTCTTTATAGTGGGCACAATGCCACTACCCCATCTTGCAGGGCTAAATGAGATGAAACATTATGGCTCACGGTGACTGTCAGCCACAATCACCGATATTAGTGGCCCCTCCTGCGTTTCAGGACTTGCCACGCTTGCCCAGCAGAGAGCCGAAGTGGGAACCTGGGTGCAAATCAGAAGGTCTGTGGCCTGGCACCCCGGCTTTCAGGTGGGAGGGACCCGGAGCCAGTTCTGGCCAGAGTCCCCACTTCCCACTAAGCAAGGGAGCCCATCCTCTGGTCTGAAAGGGAACCCCAGAGTCTGACTGATTGCTCACCGAGTCATTTCCATGCGAACAATTTCTAGATTTATTAAAATGCAGAATTAGACTCATCAAGTGGGGCCCCAGATACTGCAACAGACTTCCAGGGGATGCTGCGGCTGCTGGCCCACACGGCTCTTTGAGGAGCAAGGCGAGCCCATCTTTTCTAGAATCTCTTTGGTATCACCCAGTCTCCTGCTTGGAATTCCTGCAGAAACGGGAAGCTCCAGGCCAGAGCTGCACACTTGAGTCTGTTACCAGCGCTGCCCTAGCCTAGAACGTGGGAGTACCTCCTGGTCTGTGACGCCCCCTCCCACCCAAGGCTGGTTGGCCAGTTTGGGGCGGCCCCTGGTGGCCAAGGTGTGAACCGCAGGCCACTGAACGCAGATTTGCAGGACTGGAGGGTTGGGGCTAAATTGGGATTAGGGCAAAGGGGTCATTGCCTGCTCTGGGGCCACACCGAAGATGGGAGGTTATTAGTTCGATCTTTGTAAACTGTAAGTCTTCCGTTCTCCCGATGGGTCGCTCATGGAGGGGGCCACTGGGAACATCTTGAGTTATGCCTGCTTCTTGGTCCCCACCTTCAAATGGACATATGGGGAGACAATGGCATCTGGTTTCTGGTTTGGTTGCGTCTCTGTCCTGAGTGGAGAGGAGCGGTCAGGACACGGGTCGATACCCACCTTGGGGGTGGGTCCCTGGCCCAGGCTTTCCCCCATTACAGCATCCTGAAGGAGGAGGCGGGCTCTCAGCTCTGTGGCTAACACACTGTGACTTTTGGCAAGACCCTTGCTCTCTCTGGAGCTGAGGGTCCCCACCTCTCCACAGCAGGGGGATGGGGCTTAGAACTGCAGCCGGGGAGCCAAAAGCCTAGCTGTGCATCAGAAGTCCTGAGCGGCCTTGTACAAATACAGATTCCAGGGCCCTGCCTCTGGAAGTTCTATTTGGTAAGTCCCCGCGGAGGCCTGCGGACCAGTGCCTTCCCAAGTTTCCTGGCTGATTTGATAAGTATCCAGAAACATATTCTGGATTGTTCCAACAATCAGGAACATCTATGATACGGTTTGACTTATTTAGCTGTCAAGATAAATATTTGCAGTCTGTGTGCTAGAAAATGTACAGTGCCTTGTCGTTTTAATCCTTTGTGCTGTGGCGTTTGCCTTTCTGTACGTGTCCAGAGGGCGGGGCCTCAGCCCTTCCTTGCCATTCCCAAAAGTGACCATCATTTGCTAAATAAACTGAGCACCTACTCCATGCCAGGCTGCATGCTCAGGGTTTGACCTGCATCACTTTTTTCCAAACAATGCTCTGATTTAAGTACTGCTATTGCCCCCTTTACAGATTGGGAAAATGAGGCTCAGAGAGCTTAAGTAACTTGCCCAAGGTCACTCAGCTAATAAAAGGCAGAGTCAGGATTGGAACTCTAGTCCAAAGTTCTAGCTTATGACCAGAATGCCACACTGTCTCTTAGGAAGGAGTGTCACGAAGTTCAAGGCCAGGTCTGTGTGACCCTAGGGCCAAAGTGTTCACCTCTCACTGCCCCCCTTGAACAGTCGTGGCTGAGTGACATCTCTGTCTCTGCAGGTGTGTGCCCAGCTGTGCCCAACACCGTGTGTCTGCCCCTGGCCGCCACCCCGATGCCCGCCGGGGGCGCCCCTGGTGCTGGACGGCTGCCGCTGTTGCCGGGTATGCGCACGGCGGCTGGGGGAGCCCTGCGACCATCTCCACGTCTGCGACCCCAGCCAGGGCCTGATCTGCCAGCCCGGGGCAGGCCCTGGTGGCCAAGGGGCCGTGTGCCTCTGTAAGCAGGTTTGCGGGACTCATGGTGGATGTATTTGGGAGGGTTGAGGCTGAGGGGACCTGAGTCAAAGAGAAGCTCTTCTCTCTCTACCTCCTTACGTCAGGTGCACCAGCCATTCCGGCCAAACTCGGTGACCCGCGGTTCCCTGGGCCCTCCCTCTGCTCCCCTCCCCCAACCTTGTCTTTGATCCAACCATGCCTTCCACCTGAGCAGCTCCCCCCATTCCTACCTGTCCAAGTCACAACCCACTGTCAAAGGTGAGCTCAAACACTCCTCCCCTGAGAAGCCCTCCCAGATTATTCAAACCAGATGTCACTATCCTTTCTCGGGATCTTCATACCCTTTTGGGAAAATAAAAGTATAGCTGCTTATTTAGGGGAGCGTACATCTCAAGCACTGTGCTGAAACTTGCCACATAATCCTCACATAAATCACATAATCCTCACAATGATCCTTTCAGACCCATTTTATAGATGAGCAAACTGAGGCTCAGTAATAGTAACTGGCATGACTGCTGTTACACAGGTTGGGACCAGGTCACACAGGTTCTAAAGCAACATTTTGTTCTGTCTTCCCCCTGGATTGGGAGCTCTTGGGCTATCATTTGAGTCCTGAGTTTGCCATTTACGAGTGACCTTGAACATGTTGCATTTCTCAGCATTTTAGGCTGAGAACCTCTGGTTCTTTAGGTCAGAGTTTCTCAACTTTACTCTTTGGGGCCAGATAACTGTTTGTTATAATTCTTGGGGGGGGGGGTTGTCCTGCACAGGGGAGGACACTTAGCAGTATTCCAGCAGCATGTCCCCCACCCTCACCCATGACAATCTGTCTCAGACGTTGTCAAATGTCTCCTGGGGAACAAAATCATCTCCATTTGAGAACCACTGCCTTAGAGGAACAGAAACATGTGAGGGTGTTCTTTTTTTCTTTTCTTTTCTTTTAAAAAAATTTTTTTTAATGTTTTATTTATTTCTGAGAAAGAGGGAGAGGCAGCATGAGCAGGGGAGGGTCAGAGAGAGAGGGAGACACAGAATCTGAAACAGGCTCCAGGCTCTGAGCTGTCAGCACAGAGCCCAACGCGGGGCTCGAACCCACAAACTGTGAGATCATGACCTGAGCCGAAGTCGGATGCTTAACCAACTGAGCCCCCCAGGTGCCCCTCTTTTTTCTTTTTTTTAATAAGTCTTATAAGCAATCGACCTCTTTCATCTATTTGTATGAATCATTTTAAGAAGATAAGAACAAGAGTGGGGCTCATGAATCATTGATAATGAGCCCACATATAGAAACAAACAAGGCTTAAAGAACAGCAACAAGACTAACAGACATAAAGTTATCGATACTAAACCCTCGTTAAATGCTTTTTATGATCAGGGAAGAATAATCATGGGAAAGTAGTGATTTGTTTTATAAACTCTAGATGATCGCTAAACGAAAAAATGAGACAAGTAATACTTAGCTCACCAGGCCGTTGTTTCAATCAGCCAGGATACACGGAAAGCACTTGCCCAAGCTTTATTTTTGAACATTTGCATAGTGCTTACCATGTGCAAGGCACTAAGGGTTTCACAAATATTACCTCATTTAATCTCATGACAACCATATGAGACTGGTCCTGATATCATCTGCATTTTATAAATGGGGGGAAAAAAGAGGCACAGAGAGGTTAAGTGACTTCCTCAGGGTCACACAGCTCATAAGGAGCTGAGCTGGGATTTGAACTCAGGGAGGTGGCTCCGCATTGTTCCTTTCTATCACTCTGTTGCCCGACACTCGGCATATGAATAGTACATAGTGGCTGTTATTGTCACTAAGTTTATTAAGGGGCTTTTATTAGTCCATCTTGGTTCAGACTTCAAACAGCTAGAGATCAGAAATGTGTTTATAAAGACTTTGCTTCTTCCTACAACTCCCAGCCCTGGGCAGGCAACATAGTGGGTGTCCATGAACCAAATCTGGAGACTGGCGAACCTCCCAGGTGAGCTGGAGCCGCTGAGACCTCAAGGAGGCTGAGTCTAGGTCTCAGCACCGGAAGGAATATTCTTCCAAAACTGTCAGTTCCTAGCTGGCAGAGCTTGACGGCCGACTCCAGACTGTGTGTGTGTCCATCAAGCTCCTGATCCGCACCCCCCAGGCGTGCAGCCTCCACAGCTCAGCCGAGGGCCTCTCCACCCTTCCTGTGGCTTGAGTTCCAGACCTTGCAGTCATTCTTGACGTCTCTCGTTTTTGCACATCCCACATACTTCCCACCAGCAAAGTCTTCAGAATGTCTCTAGAACCGGAAATTTAGTCCCTTCCCAGTCAAGCCACTGCCACCAGCCTGGTCTGAGCCCCATCATCACGTGCTGGATGTTGTAGCGGCCGCATAACGGTCTCCCTGCTTCTGTCCTTGCCTTAGTCTGTTCCTTAAACAGTCTGTTCCTTAAATATCCTAGGGGGGCTCCTACCTCAGGGCCTTTGCACTGGCTGTTTGCTCTACCAGTGTTTTTTCCCCCAGATATGTGCTTGGCAAGTTCCTGCACCTCCTTCACATCTTTATTCAAATATCACCCTCTTGCTGAAGCCTTCCCTGATCACCATTTTCAACACGCTTCTCTTGAACCCTTCCCTTGATTATTTTTCTGGCTTTAATCACCATCTGACATCATAAACGCTACTTGCTTATTGTTTTATTTCCACTAGAGTGAAAGCTCCAATGAGGGCAGGATTTTTGCCTGTTTTAATCATTGCTATATCACAAGTACCTAGAACAGTGCCTGATGCATAGCAGGCACCCAATAAATAAGTGTTGGATGAATGAATGATAGAGATAGTTCTAGAGAAGCTACCAGGAACAGGCACCCTATTTATTGAGCATGTCTTGTGAGCAAGCCCTTTACATACTTGATTTCACTTTACCCTTAATAACGAGGTAGGTCCTATTATTAAACCTATTTTGCAGATGAAGGGACTGAGCTCAGAGAGGTTAATTCACCTGCTTGAGGTCACACAGTATGCAAGTGACCGAAGATAAAAAACAAAAAACCTTGTCATTTCTTCTCCTGTAAGGGACTCTCAGAGGGAAAGAAGGATGCAGAAATTGCCAGATAATAAGACTGGACTCTGAAGTTTTTTTTTTCTTTAGTTGTTTAATGTTTATTTATTTATTTACAGAGAAAGAGCATGAGAGAGAGAGAGAGAGAAAGCAGAGGGGGATAGGGGGAGGGGCAGAGAGCAAGGGGAGAGAGTCCCAAGCAGGCTCCATGCTGTCAGTGCAGAGCCTGACGCTGGGCTCAATCTCACAAACCATAAGACCGTGACCTGAGCCAAAATCGAGAGTCGGCTGCTTAATGGACTGAGCCTCCCGGGCACCCCGGGCCTAAAGTTATTTGAGGGAGGTTGCTGCACAAGAAGGTGCTGGAAGGGCTTGGAAGAGGCAACTGTGTGTGCATATGGGGGGTGGGGGATGCAAGGATGAGTACGTTTGAGGCACGTCATGCGTTTGGGGCCACGCACCAGGGTGCACACAGACCCCAGCGCAGGGGGTGGCTGCCCAGGGACCACTGCCCGCACCCCCAAGCGGCTCTGAGCTCGAGGAGCCAGGAGGGGTGCCAGGAAACCTTGCTAAAATTATCACCACTCTGCTGACTTTCCTAAACAATCCCTCTGTTCACCAGCCATCCCAGCGACCAGGAGGCCCCAGGGCTGTGGCATCAGGAGTCAGGTGGGAGACCCGGGCTTGGCCAGGCTTAGGGTGCAGATTAAGGCCCAGCTGCCCCCTACGGTTTCCAGGAAACCAGCGGCCACACGATCCAGGCCGAGAGGCCAGGGGCTTGGAGCCAAAGGGCTGTGGCCTGGAAAGAGCGGGGGGAGAGCTGGCGCCCTCCTGTGGTCCTCAGAGGAACTGCGTCACCCGCTCCCATTCACCTGCTACGTTCCAGACTTGGGGCGAAACCCTTTAAGTACAATGGCGCGTTCAATCCTCAGCGGCCCTGCCACCAGGACACGGTGGCTCAGAGAGCTGCAGTAACTTGTCTCAGTTTCCACAGCTAGCAAGTGGGAGCAGGGGCTGCCCTCCGCAGCTGTGTGCTAACCAAATTCCTGCCTTATAGGCTCACTAGAGGTTTCTCTCTGAAGTCCTGGGAAAACCTCCCTTCCAGCAAGTCCTTCCCCAGAACCTCCTGACTCCTCCCAGCTCTCTGTGCTCCCCAGAAGGCTCACTCGCGCCTTTCCACAGCTGGCTCTTCACTCTGTCTTGGAGACGCTGACATCTGTCCCTTGCCTGGGCTTCGATCCCTCAAGGCAAGGACTGTCTTAGTCCTGTCTAGGAGCCCAGGGGATAGCACACTCCATATCTCTGGACTGTATAAGAAGCCGGAACTCTTTTATCAGCGTGTCTCACGTGCTGGGCCTTGCACCAGGCATTGCAAAGGGCATTTCCTGAGCATCTGTGTGTCCCATCCATGCTCTGAGCCGGCCTGGGGGATGGGGGGGTGCCGGCAGGAGCACTCTCAGCCCCGGCCCTCAAGTAGTGCTTTTCCAGTGGGGGAAGTGGGAACAGCGTTCATATCTTGAGGGCTCCGTTCAAAGACTGTTTCTTGAACACCTACTATATGCCTAGCACTGTGCTGGACATTTTGTACATATTATCTCATGTAACTGAAGGTACTGAGCTGTTCTCTTCGATGCTATTGTTAAGGCGACTCAGATCAGTAACTTATCCAAAGTCAAACAGCCAGAAAGTTAAGCCCTAGCCTAGAAGGGGTGACTATAACGTAGCAGGTGTACAATGAAAGTTTGTTGCAGTAACCCTCATTGTGTATGTAAGTTACATATTAATAATATATAGTAGTTATATTAGTAGTAACAACAGAGCATCCAGGATCTATTGAAGATCTCTTTTGTGTTGGATTCATTACAAAAATAATTTCATTTTGTCTATACCAAAACCTTGTGAAAAGAGTATCATTATAACCCATTTTGCAGGTGAGGAAACTGAGGCAAGAAGTGAAGTGGCTTGGCCCAGGTCCATAGCTAATAAAGCAGAGGGGGGCTCAGGCCAGGCCAGCGCCCCCACATCCCCTGTGTCAGGATACAGGACGGCAGGGCAGGCTGGCAGTGAGGACGGGGTGCATATCGCAGGCTGGAGCCCCTTGGCAGTGCCCAGACACTGTAAGGGCACCGCTCTGCGCGCAGCAGGATCTGGGCCAGCTCTGCAGAGAGACCACGTGGAGGATGCGGCTGGCACGGGCTTGCCCAGGGAAAGGCTGGGGGTCACGCTGGGGGTCTGGTTTCTCCTCTGCAGGGGGAGAGGATGATGGGAGCTGTGAGGTGAACGGCCGCCGGTACCGAGATGGGGAGACCTTCCAGCCCCACTGCAGGGTTCGCTGCCGCTGTGAGGATGGTGGCTTCACCTGTGTGCCCCTGTGCAGTGAGGACGTCCGGCTGCCGACCTGGGACTGCCCGCATCCCAGGAGGGTTGAGGTCCCGGGCAAGTGCTGTCCTGAGTGGGTGTGCGACCAGGGAGGGGGCCTGGGGGTCCAGCCCCTCCCAGCCCAAGGTGAGCGCAGGGTCGGCCCAGGCCAGGGGCGGGGCCAGCTGGGGGCGGGGCGGGGGCGAGGGCGAGGGCGGGGCTTCTCGGGAGCCAGGACTTTGGACAGGTCAAAGCACCCGTTCCTCGGTGACAGGACCTGGGAGGGGTTAGGGGCTGAGGAGCGAGGTGAGCAGAGTGGGGAGGCAGAAGACCTGTTTAAAACGGACAAAACATAAAGTAATATAATTTTAAATCATAAATAATGAAAAATAAAAATTGGTGGCAGAGTGGAGAAGGGAAAGGAGAGCTAGGATACTTGAGCCAAATGCTCGCATTTCGTAGCAGAGGTATGCTGTTGTGACATATGCTATTATTATGGTTCTAATATACCGATATGCATTGTATTTATATCATTTAAATATTAAGTAATATTATTAATATGTAATTATCTGGCTTATCCAAAGAGGAACTCAAAACTGAACGAGGCAAAGTGGTTGCCTCTGGATTGTGGGTAGAGGTGGAGGAAAGACAGTTACCTCGTGCTATAAACTCGTTAAGTTTTAGAGATTTTGTTATTGCTACATCACTGAGTTCTTATGATTATTATATGAACGTGATGTTTTTAAATGTTTTTTTTTTAAATTTCTGAGAGAGAGAGAGAGACAGCCTGAGCAGGGGAGGGTCAGAGAGAGAGGGAGATAGAGAATCTGAAGCAGGCTCCAGGCTCTGAGCTGTCAACACAGAGCCCGATGTGGGGCTCGAACCCACGAGCCGCAAGATCATGACCTGAGCTTAAGTCTCACGCTTAACCGACTGAGCCACCCGGACACCCCTGAACGTGATGTTTTTAGAGAAAGGCAGCTGAAAAGAAGGCATTGGTCCATTGTTGACGGTGCCACATCGAGAGTAGAGCATGGTGGGTTCAGCATAGTCTGCCCGGGTTCTGAGCCCAGCTGCACTGTTTCCTAGCTGTGGGACTCAGAGAAAGTTGCTCAACTTCTCTGTGCCTCAGTTCCTCCACCTGTAATATGAGAATAAGGGCATCCACCGCAGAGTTGTGGTGAGACCGGATGAGTAAACTCAAGGAAAGTAGTCACGGCAGTGCCTGGCCCACAGCGCCCCATCTGCGGTAGCGGTAATTATCCCTGTGGTGGAAGGGGACACATCCGCTTAAATGCAGAGCAGGATGCCAGTGAGTTCATCATCTGTATAAAAAGCAGGATAGGGCGCTGTCTGTGCAATTTGATCTCCACTATGTGGGCACATGTGTGAGCACATACCGCACACAAGTGCATATCACAAGCGTTTCTTAACTTTGGCGCTAGTGACACGTGGGCTGGGTAATTCTGTTGTGTGGGAGCTGATAGGAAGTTTAGGGGCATCCTGGCTAGATTCCAGTCCTCCTGCTCCCAGCCGTGACCACCAGAATGTCCCTGGACATTGCTAAATGTCCCTGGGGGGTGGGGGGAGCAAAATCACCCGCAGCTGAGAAACAGTTGGTTAAAAAGGACCAGAAGGAAGGACATTAGAGCAGAATCAGATGTGAGAGGAGGAAAAGCTGGACGTCGGTGAGTCCCCCTCCCCCGCCTTGTTCCAGATACAGCCTGGGAACCTCTAGCACCTTCGTCACTGGGTCACTCGGCACCACTACCCACAGGCCACAACCTCCTTCCCGTAAGATACTACGGGGGGAGGGGGTGCAGAAATGAGAAACCAGAGGCGCCTGGGTGGCTTAGTCGGTTAAGCGTCCGACTTTCGCTTAGGTCATGATCTCGCGGTTCGTGGGTTCGAGCCCCGCGTCGGGCTCTGTGCTGACTGCCAGCTCAGAGCCTGGAGCCTGTTTCAGAGTCTGTGTCTCCCTCTCTCTCTGACCCTCCCCTGCTCATGCTGTCTCTCTCTCTCTCTCTCTCCTAGAAATAAATAAAACATTAAAAAAAATGAAATGAGAAACCAGCCACTTATGGGGGACCATCACGGCCAGCACCATCATAGCTCCCTAGTAACCCACACATACAAGGTGCTTACAAATAGGGGCACTGTGCGAAGCACCTCCCCTCCATTATTTTATTTGGACCTAACAATCGACCAGTAGAAAATTTACATGGGAAGAGACCGGGGTCCAGAGAGGTTAAGCAACGCGACCGAGAGGGCACCGCTAGCAGTTAGGTTGACTTGGCTGCCGAGCCGTGACCTTGCGGGGCTGACCCCTCTTTCTTCCCCCTCCCAGGGCCCCAGTTTTCCGGGCTTGTTGCGCCCCCACGCCCCGGCACCCCCTGCCCAGAATGGAGCACAGCCTGGGGCCCCTGCTCAACCACCTGCGGGCTGGGCGTGGCCACCCGGGTGTCCAACCAGAACCGCCTCTGCCGACTGGAGACCCAGCGCCGCCTGTGCCTGTCTGGGCCCTGCCCACCCGGCGGGGGCCGCAGCCCGAGGAACAGTGCCTTTTAGAGCAGGGCTGGGAACGGAGGCTCGGTGCCCACCCTGCCCAGCAGGCAGCCCTGAGGCTGGGCCCTGAGCAGATGGCAGACGGCCCCTCCTCACCCCCTTGACTGGGGCAACCCCCTGGGGGACAAGAATGTTCACAAGCCGTCAGGGCCATCTGGACCCTGAGATAGAGCTGGGATGTATGCCCCAGTCTCCCTTCCTCTACCTCACAGCTTAGGGGGCTGGCCAAGGTTTCCAGGGTCTTCTGGTCCGTTCCCAGCCTCCACACAGACTCCAGCAAACACATGCACAGGCAGGCTTTCCAGCAGCCAAGGCAGCCAGCTCCCCCTTAATCATTAGGCCATGGGCAGGTGCCCGGCGGGACTGGCTATTTTTCTGGGGGTGGTGAAGAGGGGCGCACAGATATTCTGAATCTCCTGCTCCCTTTCCTGGAGTTGACACAAAACTGTCCCCAGATCCATGCCTATGCAAGAGCTTGTAGGTCTGGCTTGTGCTGTCTGAGAAGGCCCTCCCCATCCAAGGGCAGGATTCAGAGGCTGCGTTCTTTGTGGAAACCGCCAGGTGAAATCACACCGTCTTGAAGAAAGGCAGAAAACAGGCCTGAAAGGGATCCGTTAAACTCAACTCGTATTAACAAGAATGAACCTTTCACGAGCACCTGCAATGTGCCAGGCACTGAGCTAGACGCTATATAGAGGTGGGTGCTTCGCAACATTTAGGACCAGAGAAAATCAGGGGAGAATGAAGGCTTAGCCCCCGGGACTGGGGAACACAGCCTGAAATAAACTCAGCCAAGTGTGAAATTCTGTTTGAAGTCTCATGTTTTGTTTTGTTTTGTTAAACCTACATATACATTTTCTTTCCTCCTCTGTGATCTACGTCTGTATGTTCAAAAAGAAAAACTGTGTTCTCATTGCATTCCAACCAGGAAATTATAAAATGCTCTCAGTATTTAAACAGGGGTTTCTTTTTATTAAACTAACTTTATCGAGGCATGGGCTTACACACAGTGAAACACACAGGTCCTAACATAAGGTTTAACGAGTCTTTAAAATGTACACGCCTGTGTAATCAATACCTCTGTCAAGGTATTGACATTTCCATCATCTCAGGAGGTTTCCTATGGCCCCTCCCCCTCCCGGGTCATCCCCTCCACCCCTGAAGGCGACACTGTTCTGAGTTCCAGCACCTTAGACGACAGACAGCTAGCCGCCTGTTCTTGAACCTCACACAAGCAGAATCGCGCAGTCAGTGGCTTCTTTCACTTGGCACCAGCTGTCGGGATGGAGCGTTTGAGGCAGAGCAGAGCCCAGAAGCCGGGACCAGCCAGCAGAAGGCAGAATCACAGCAGGGCCGGCTGCGGGGAGCAGGGGCCCCCAGGGACATGCAGCCTTGCAGACCTAACAGAAAGTCGATGGAGACGGGGAGGCAGACCTGGCTTCTGCTTCTCCTACCCCGTTTCTGATTAGCCAAAACCCACCGCGAAGGTGAGCGGCAAGGGAGCCTGGGAGTCTAGGGCCCTGAGATACTCTGAGGGGAAGGGCGACCCCAGCTCACAGAAGGTACATGGCCGTCCCCTCGGGACAGCTGCCCCCAGCGCTTGACTTAGGTACCACCTCCTCCAAAAGACAGAATCACAGGCAGCGTCTGAGCCACCGAATCCTCACAGAATATAACTAACTGGAGTCCGCAGATGAGAAAGCTGCTTGGAAGAGTGATCTGTCCAAAAGCTGGTCTGCAGCTGGGGAGAGACCTCAGCCCGCACCAAGTTTACCTGACTCAAGACTGGGTTGATGTTCTTGTATGGGCTGAGAGGTTCAGGGGGTCAGGCTCCACAGAGGTACACTGAACACACTGCCAGGGGAATTCGAGAATATCCCTAGGAACAGCGAGAGTGAGGACAAGGACATCAGAGGTTTGTGGAATGATTCCGGCTCGTGGGGCCCTTGCTTCCGGGAGCTTTACCCACAATGGCATGTTGCCTTTGGGACATCCCTAAAGGAAAGTGCTATTGATAGTTCCATTTTAGAGATGGGTAAACTGAGACCCAGAGTAATGAGTGAGTGGTCCTAGGATTGTGATGCTGGACCCTGGGCCATCTGACTGCAAGGCCTGTGACCTCACTACCAAGCGGCTGTGAACAGAGCTGCACAGAGTGGCCTTGGCCACCCGCCCCAGCTCAGCTCTACTGTTTCCTAGTGCGATCTTAGGCAGGGTACCTAACTTCTTTGTACCTCAGAGTCCTCTTCTCTAAAATGGGCATGAGGGCATTGTTCTACACAGAGGGTTGTTGAGTATTCTGTGATTGAAATCACAATTTTAGCTATCATTCTCTTGACTTGGCCTTTTAGTGCCTTAGTGTTGTCACCTGTAAAATGGGCATAAAGAGCAGTGCCCACCCCCAGGATCACTGTGTTGATGAGTTCGCATATTAGGTCACAGTAATTCCTCTGTGTTCACCTGAAATATAAGCTATTATTATTATCCTGCCTTCATGATTCTTCAGCAAGTCAGAGAAAGCTATGAGGCAAAAGCTGAGAATTTTCTTGTTTGTAAAGAAGAGGAGGTTGTTTTGGGGGTGCAGGTCACAGGTGAAAATCAGACTAACCCGCACCGGAACTCACAGCTGGAGGTACTGGGCCCAGCCATTCCCCAGTATATTTGTACTTGTAATATCCATGTTGTTGCAGGTAACAATAGTACATTCCTTCGCATCACTGTATGGTATTCCCTTGCACAAATATACTGCGTGTTCTCTATCCATTCTATGCCTGCTGGGTAGTTTCCGGTTGGGGCTCTTATGAACAGGATGTCATGAACATTCTAGCCCGTGTCTTCTGCTGGATATTGAATGCTTCTGTTGCGTCAACACTCAAGAGTGGAATTGCTGACGTCTGCCCTCTTCCTCCTGGGTCAGATTGTCTCCCAGGATGATGGAGGTCTTTGTACAATAAGTACTCAAGAAATACTTATTGTATAAATAATAAAAGAGCTGGGGCACCCGGGGGGCTCAGCCAGGTAAGTGTCCACCTCTCGATTTCAGTTCAGGCCATGATCTCACAGCTCATGAGTTTGAGCACTGCGTCGGGCTCTGCACTGACAGTGTACAGAACTGCTTGGGATTCTCTCTCTTCCCCTCTCTCTGTTCTGCCCTCCTTGTGTTCAATCTCTCTCTCAAAATAAATTAATGAGCTTTCAAAATTAATGATAAAACAGCTAGTACTTATTGAGTTCTAACCACATATAAGACTCTTCTCCAAGCATTTTCTTTTTTTGTTTTTAATTTTTTTTAATGTTTTATTTATTTCTGAGAGAGAGACAGAGAGACAGCGTGAGAAGGGGAGAGTCAGAGAGAGAGGGAGACACAGAAGCAGAAGCAGGCTCCAGGCTCTGAGCTAGTTGTCAGCACAGAGCCTGACACAGGGCTCGAACCCGCAAACTGTGAGATCATGGTCTGAGCCGAAGTCGGACGCTTAACCAACTGAGCCACCCAGGCGCCCCTTCTCCAAGCATTTTCTATGTAATCTCTCACTTGACCCTCATAATAACCATTTGAAGTATAATTATGCCCACTTCACTGACAGAGAAACTGAGATGGCAGATTGGGGAAGTAGCCCCAAGTTCACAGGGTCACAGTTGGCAGAACCAGGATTCGAACCCCAGAGAGTCCTGCTCGAGAGCCCCTGCCCTTGGCCACCAGGCTCCCCTGTGAACAGTCGCTGCAGTGTTCAGGGGCGAGGCACACGGGCCTGGACGGGCAGCTGCGCGCATGGGAAAGGGGGAGCGGGCGGGAGAATGAGCAGAGCCTGCCCCTGCCTGTAAGGTCGGGTTTGGAGGTCGGATGCGAGCAGAGGGGAACTAAGATACCCAACACCCCGCTGGGCTTTGTGCTGGAGGACAGCAGAGCAGAGGGGCCACCGGCAGAGGCCACGGGGAGAGCGGAGAAGGCCCTACAGGTGACAGGTGAGGGGGTGCCCTCCATGCCTTGAGTTCGAGGAGGCAGTGGCCACGTAGGACAGTGTGGCTGGAGGCAGCTGGAGATCAGAGATGATCAAAGATCATAGACAGACATAGAAACAAGAGTTCAGGTTGGGAATCTGAGTCGCTTGCACAGAGGAGTAAATTACCACACTGACCCGGCCATTTAGTTATGGAAATACCAGTATGTGGGTGTGCTGCTGTGTATAAACGCCTATCACCCCATCCTCCACACTGCTCCCCAGCCAGGGCTATCATCGTCTCTGCCCCGATGACCTGACTCCCACCCTCCTCCTTACAGGGTGTGCCAGAGGGATCCTGTTCAAACCAAGCCAGAGCACAAGCCCCTTCCCACCTGGGAACACCTAGAGGTTCCACACAACCTCCAACGCCCCACACTGTGCCCCAGTCACCTGCCCGCCTTCATCCTCAATTACTCTCCTCCTTGCTCCCGCAGCTCTGACCTCACTGTCATCCCGGCTGTTTCCTGAACATGTCAGACACACTCCCACCTCAGGACCTTTGCACGGTCTGTTCCCTGTGCCTGACATCATCTTCCCCCAGGCATCCCCATAGCTAATCCCCTGGCTCTCTTTCAAGTTTGACTCACAAAGTAAACACTTCACAGAGAACCTTCCTCAGCCATCCTGTTCCATCCCCCAGATGCGTGTAGCACGTACCCCATTTTAACACACTACCTGACTTATTTGTAACATCGATTATTTGAGGCCTGAGCCCACAAGTGCTGGGTGGGACTTAATTTTTCTGCTTTGCTTCCTGGATTCCCAGGACTTAGAACAGTACTGAGGACAGAACCAGGCTTCGTCCTTCTTGAATGAATGAAATAATATACCCTCATTCAGCATTTTGAAAAAAGGATTTAATGGGGGCGTAGAAAAGTAAATACGTCACCGTTGTCAAATGGGAGTGGCTGCCCAGTTGACAGTGATTCCCAGTGGCCATGCTTCGGTGGGTCAGAGCTCACCCCATCCCCACCCAATACTCAACCTCAGTAGTTCTCAAAGTGGGGTCCCCAGACCAGAAGCATCAGCATCACCGGGGAACTGGTTAGAAATGCAAATACCTTGTGTCCCATTCCAGATTCACAGAAATGCTTGAGATGGGGCCCAGAAGTCTGTGTTTTAATAAGTCCTCCACCTCATTAAAACTGTGTAAGGTCAATCAAGAGTGTGGCTCCGGGGGAGATGGGAGAAGACGGCAGTGCGCTGCTGCCCCCTTGTGGCATTCGCGCGCGTAACCGGCCGAGAAGCCCGGCGGGGAGGAGCCCTCCGAGGCGCCGAGCACGCGCGTCTCAGCCCCGGAAGGGCCTTGCGCAAATGCGTTGAAGAAGCGGGGTTCTTGACTATTTGGACCAGTGCCAAGTATACAGAGGCTATATCACTGCTATGATTAACTATAACATCAGGGGGAACCGAAGGGCAGGAGCCCAGGCCAGTTGAACACCCTGAGGTTGGCCAATGAGCATAGTTGTGCGTGATCCCTTCACACTGGTCTGGTTCTTATCCATGGCCCATTCACTGCCTCCTGGCCCCTCAACCCTGGCTGTCATAAAAGTGTTCTGAATCTCACCGCTAGCCCTTTTCATACACTCTTGGTCGGAAAGGAGACATTATCATGAGCTGTCAGCAGCTTCTCTGCAGCCCTGAAGCCAGCAGGTAGGCAAGCACAGGTGGTTGACTTTGACTTTCACCCTCTCTTCCATTCAAGGACTGGGCCTCCATGTCCTGATAACCCTCTTGCACCCCCAGACCTGGAGACATCCCATTCCTATCCTGTTGCCTTCCTGTC